AACAGTACTGCAAAATTTGGTTCATTCACTCCCCCATCCTCCCCACCCCACCCCACCCCATTCATTTTAACTGTGTAGAGAGAGACCTATTCAGTTGTAAATATGTGAATGAAACTCTCATAGAAAGTTCTAGGCCAAGTTCAATGGTGATATAAATTCTATTGTAAGTTATAGGTAAGGGAAAAGTTCAAAAACATATGTCCATGGTCATAATAGTGCAACTTTCATTTGGCTTTCAGTTGTTGTTCAACCAATGTGCACCTCTAATGCCAGGGGTATGGTTAAGATTGTGAGCTCTCTAGGGCTGCTCAGCTATATGAACAATATCTGACACATGGGGCCCATTCTGATCCTAACTGGAGAATTCCTAATGCTACTGTAATATAAACGACTAGTGATGAGCATAAAAGTCCCAATATACCCTCATTAACTTATGAAACACCATCTCCAACAGTCCCAGGGTCAACTGGGTTTGAACAGAAGTAGGCTCATGTTAGGTCCACTATCTAGCACCATTGTGAATTTAGAGTAATATTACTGAAGCTAGTAGAGTTATACTAGTGACAGCAATCTAAGATCAGAATTAGGACAAATGGGAAGAGATAAACCTAATATTAGGGACAGAATTGAGTCCCTGTTGAATAAACATTGGTATAATTTATCCTTGTTTTGAACATGAATATCATATCAATGACATTTATTTGTTTGGTCCTTTAAACAAATTTATTCATCCAATTATCACATTCAGTCAGAATTAATTGTGGCTGTAGATGATTATGTATAAAACATTGTAGGTGCAAAATTGGAGGCAGGTTTGAGGACTGTGAAAATTTGTGACTTGATTTTTCAGTGTGTGCACTTATAGCTCTAGTTAAGCCAATGATAGCTGCATATGTTTAGCCCCTATGAAAATCAGTCATTTGGAGCATTCAACTTTATGTTGTCAACTGCTCTGGCTCTCTTGCTTCTTCTGAGTTCCTTGTTCACCTTAATTGCCTGGCATTAACACCTTTGTTCATTCCCTTAGACTTCTTTTTACCAAAATATATTTACAGATGAAAACAGTCCCAAAATTGTAGTTGAAGATTTATTATCTTTCCTCTTAGATCTGGGTTCTTGCTTGCAAAGTCTAAACTTAGGGTTTACTTCACCTTTCATTTAGACTCTTGTAAATTAAGAGTAACATCAGTAAAGTAATATGGTTTAATACTGATCAGTTCACAGCCTGGCTGAAAATATATTCCCTAGGTACAACATTCTTTATTAGTATAAATCTGGAAGTGGCTTGCAGGAAAGCTTAATCTTACAAAGACTTTTGTTTTGCCACTGCAGTAATGAAAAAAACAGAGTTGGGTTCAGGAGGCAATAGCCAATATGGAGTATTCTTGTAAGACATTACAAATTAGCTGTTTCACCAGAACCTACACAATTAATTAGAAGCTATGGAATCTACATTGAAGCTAAATATTTTTCATGTATGTAATGGGTATTTCAGTTCCAAACTAGCAAATAAAATTATCTTTATGCAATACTTTTTTATTGAATGCAATAAACAAGTCAACAGAGACCATCTGGCCATTATCAGGGTTAACTTTTGCTGGTTTTTTTGGATTTATTTCAGGAGTTCTTACTAAATGTGGGTTAAAATGACAAATAATGCCAGAACTTCAATACTTTCCAGGTTTGGTAAGCTATAGAGAACAGGACAGAATTGTGTTTCATTCCTCTGCTTCTGTGCAATAAATGTCTGATCAGCCATATATATATATGTACAGTAATTGGAACTTTTTTCTGCTCATTTCAATACATTGTATGGGACAAACCATTTTTGTCTCAAACTGCTATTCAAAATATTAATACTGTATGTATATTCAGCTATCTCTGTCTGATATATGTATAAAAAGACATGATGTAAACAATGTACAATATATATATATGTACATAATGAATATGGTTGGAAAGATCACATATAGAACATTGTGCCTATAGAACATTGTGCAGATATTAAAGTAAAGCTCTTATTAAGTCTTCTAATGAGAATAAAATAGCACTGCTGAATATTCTCAGTGGTTTCTACAGATGAAAGGCACCTAATGGATAATGTAGTCAGCAGACACAAACACTGAAGAGACAACTGACTCACCTCTCCATAGCCAGTAGTTTCCAAACTGGGGAATTAACCCCCCTAGGAGGGCATGGAGGAACATTGGGAGGAGAGACCCGGCAAAAAGTACATTTCTACACTGGGGACTTATTTCAAAATAACTCCCTTTATTTCAAAATAACTAAGCGAATGTCCACACCACCTAGCCTGCTATTTTGAAATAATAATTCTTGCTTGTGAAAAGGAATAAACTTATTTCAGATAGCTATTTTGGGAGTGTAGACATACTAACCTGGTAGTGTAGACGTAGCAAAAGGTACCTGGGCTGTATTTCTAGCTGGGGGAGGGACACAAACGCAGGTAAGCTATAACTAGATTTTTCTATTCAGCTGTCATGGGGTTGATACTCATCCCTCTCTAGGTGGGGACTAGGTACTCTACAGCCTCATGGTTGGGCTCAACACTCTGTGTAAAAAACTTGGGTCTTACCCCATTGTCCTGATTAGCAAGACAACACGGTCGGGCAGCTAGAGTCCCTCAAAAAGCCCCTCTCTCTCAGAGCAGTATGGCCTAACAGCCAGACTCAATAACAACATCCCTCTCTCACAGGGTGGTATCCCCCAAGTCAGTAACAATGCCCCTCTCTCACAGGGCAGTGTAGCTAGTGGCTACAGTCAATAACATTTGGTGCAGGCTCTCCACTAGTTCCCAAGCCAGGTCCCTGCCAGTGGTGCAGTTACATACCGTCAGCTCTAACTAAACATGCCAAGCTGTTCTGGGAAGTTTTCCCCCCACAAAAGTCCCCTATGTCATTTCTTCCCCAACTCTGTCTCTCCAGCTCTGAGTTCTCCATCTCTGCCCTCTTCATGACATCCCAGGCTGGCAAGCCTGTTTCATTTTCCTCTTGGTTGGTGTTGGTGTCCTGATGTGCAGGTGGTCCTTCCTCAGGAATTAGAACAGCACTCTCTTCTCCATCAGTTGTCAGGGTAGACTGAGCTGTTATGCAAGCTTTTATACCTAGTCTCCAGCTAGTGCATGCCCAGCACAACTGATAGGGTGGGGCCTGATTAGATAAGCAAGTAGGGTTAACTTTTGCATTACCAATGTGGGTTTGACACACCCCGTCACAATGACACGTTTTATTTTTTCACTATTTACTTCTAATTTTACTCATTTTGGTTGTGAATATGCATCATGTCAAATATGTCTAATGAAGATTATGGGAACTGAATTAATTCATCTCCTTCAAAATCTGTCTTAAAAATGACTCTTTGTTTAAATTTAGAAGATAATGAAGAAAGAAACTTAAAACTATACATTTAAGACAAAAGAACCATTACTGATGGGCAATGCAAATTAGTATTACTCTTTTGCAAATTATTTCTATTCCTTAAAAATAGGCAATTATTTCTTTAGTTCTTCATACATAGAATTATTAATGATTGTAAAGATGTTACTATTTTTTTAAAGTGAGAGAGCTGTCTTAGACTCATTTGTCTTTCTCTGGTTTTAGTGACAGTGGGATGAACACATCTCTTGATAGTAATTGTTAGTGATCTCATTTTCTTAAAAATAACAAAAATGAATGATCCCATAGCACCTTAGAGACTACCATAATTGTGGATAGTATCATGAGCTTCCATGGGCACAACCTTTTCTTGTTTGCATCTAGAAGATGCTTGTGATCCTGGTAAAGGTTTCAGATCTACAAACCACTTCCAATGAGTTTTGGTCTACATAATTTCTCCTCTTTTGCTAAGAGTACAGCTACACTGCAAGGCAATTTTGGGATACCAGAGGTATCCCAAAATAGCTACTATGCGTCTACACAAGCTGACCGTTATTTCAAAATATTTTTCAAAACAATAGATGTGCTATTTCAGCATCCCAGTAACCCTCATTCCACAAGGGTTAATGGATGTCTCAAAATAGTGCGTTATTTCGAAATTGGGCACTGTGAAGATGAGCCAAATTTCAAAATAAGCTATTATGAAATAGATTTGAAATAAGATACACAATTTGCAAAGCGTAAAATATGTATCTTATTTTGAGTTTAGGGTGCTGTGTAGATGCACCCTAAGCAACAAATATCAGCAAGGCCTAAGGAGGAAAACTACTTGCTCACACTTTTATGTCTGTTACGGGGGTGGGGGGGGGTTGTTGTTTTTTTGCCAGTCCTCCAGCTAAAACTAGAAAAGGTAATGAGTCTCATTTTATTTTGCAATATAAATGGAGAATGAATACACATCCTCAATTGAGCTGGAAAGGGATTTAACATTCAAAATATTGATTAGAATCTGCTTACTTATGCACCATTGATTGTGAACTGCAGTTAATCCCCTTATCTGAAACTGTGGTTTCTGTATGAAGTTGAGACTCGCATTCTAATAATTGTCTAATAGTGATTTCATGTTGCTTCTACAGCAAACACACAAAAAGCTGGCAAATTCAAATGCCAAAAAGGACGATACTTATCTTAACGTAGCACTTTTTTTGAGATTGTATGTAATGTGATTTCATTCAACACCTAGAGAAATATAAAATGGGTGCTCAGGTCAAAGCTTCATGATGCTCAAAATGGCAGGTGTCAGTATCTCTGTAAATAGTAGCTAGTGAGCTGTGAGCCATTTATCAAGCCTGTCTTTAAAGTTAGGTTAGAACTTGGGGAATATAAAGAATCAGAATATAGGAAATTACACCACAGTAATCTGATAAAATATTGATCAAATAAAAAGTGCCAGCTCAGTATTAATCTGTTACATATCTCATACCCTGAGACAAACATTCTGGAACATGCTTTCTCATGTACAATGTCAATTCAGGTTGATTCTTGATTATAATTTTCAGTAACCAGTGATCAGTGCTTGAACCTGAACATGATGTTTTTCTCTGACAGATAATTGTGATGATCAGCTGGTGTCTGCCTTGCCTCAGTCTTCATTCAGTAGTTCATCAGAGCTGTCTAACAGTCATAGTCCTGGCTTTGCAAGGCTTAATCGAAGAGATGGTGAGTCTATTGTCTGTTGATTTGTGCAAAATTTACTCTATTCTCCCAAAACATTTTATTGCATAAAGTAAAATAAATAGAAAAAAAATAAATGAGGGCCAGTCTGTATTTTCAACTTTATCTTTCAAAGAATGCTGAAATGTCAAAAAGTAAGAATGTACATCTTCAAAAAAATCTGTTTAAAGTTTTAGGAAATATAGGATGTTTTTTCCTGGGAGTTAGGCCACTGTGTCGTATACAAGTATCCAGAGGTACATCTACACAGCAACATTATTTTGAAACAACTTAGTCTGTATCTATACGGCGGGCAGTTACTTTGAAATAATGTCGAAATACTATCAATCTGGAAGACTTCTTACTCTGACTCCTGCAACACTCATTGTACGAGGAGTAAGGGAAGTCAGAGGAAGAGTGCTCTATTTCAAAATAAGTGCTGTGTAGATGCTCCCAATTTCGAAATAAGCTACTCAATTGGTGTAGCTGAATTTGTGCAGCTTATTTCAAGTTTAGCCCTGCTATGTAGCTGCATCTCAGGAGAACTATTGCAGTAACTGCATACATACTAGATACTTTCATGTAATGCTAATAGTAGATGAAGCTGAATCAACTCAGAAAATGTACTTTGATAAGGGCCAAATGTTTGGATACTTGAAATTTGGACTGGAAGAAAAGGCTATTTCATCAGTTTTCTTTTATTTCTATTTCTGTCATTCACTTCAATGGGGCTAAGATAGAATATTGATGAAAAGATTTATAAAAATGTGATTTTTGTTTTTTGGAAATTCATCAAAATTTTTATGAAAATTCATGTGTTTTAATTCTTTGACCATCACTAATAATGGCACTATATGCATTCATATAACCTATACTGGAAGCTAATGACAAACTTCAACTACCGATATTTTGTTCCTGGTTTTTTTTTTAAGTGATCAATTGCAGATAGTTGTACATTAGGTGAACATGCAGTAGTATGTCTACATCTGCTTGCAAAATGTTAGTAATTATGCAAGCATATGCAGGTGTGCAATGTATTTGAACTATGGCCTCTTGGAAACTATGGATATCGTTTATATCCATCCAGATTCCAGACCTAATTCTTAGATATGTTTTCCATATCAGATTCTGAAATGATAAAGTGTTTAAATGGCACATCTCATTGTTGAATTAAAATGCAATTAAATTAGATTTTGTTTTAAGAAAAAACATTGCTGAATTGTTACTGAAAGATTTTATTTAATTTTGGACTTGTAACAGAGGATTCTGTAATTATTTGGTTTAGCTATTGGTTAACTAACTTCACTATAATAATTTGAAAATATCTATTGTCATGAAAATTCACGGCGAAGAGAAATTTCTTTTAATTACTATAAACGTATTTTCTGCTGCTAATGACAAATCTATTAAAATACTTTGTGTGAAGAACAACTGTTTCAAAGCTTTTTGACAATATCTGAGAATATATGAATTCTTTGTCAAGAAAAAAATGAGTTAGACATTGATTCAAGGACATATCACTGTTGACATTGTGTTGTTCTGTCTGCATATTTGTAATGACTAATTACATTCAAAAGCCAAATTAAAAAATAAGCATAAGTATTTAGGGCATTGAAGAGAAAAACAAACAAACTTTGAAATATCAAGATATTGCAGCCATTAGCCTCATTAGACATGCATGCGGCAACTCAATCATTCTTGTCAATAATGCACTCAAAGTGATTTTTCTTTTTTCCTGTGTGCTAAGGTGGTTCTTGATCTTGCCATCAAAGTGCTACTGATGAGGGAGAACAAAAAGCTTCAGAATTTTTTTTAAGTAGCAATAAAGTGGAATGACACACAGTGGAGTTATTGATAAACAAAAGCCCATTGGCTGAAGTAGCTGAATTTATTTATATTTTAGAGTTACTTTGTGGGGACCAAACCCTTAGTCAAGCTTAAAATGCATGTGGACAACAGCATTTTATATTGTTTCTCAATAAGAGAGCCTCATGCTTAGGACTAGATTGTGACTTGGACTACTACCCTGTGCAAGAGCCCGATTTACACCCCTCTGTGATCTACTTCAATTTGGGGCCAAGTGCATAAGTGTAAGCAAGGCTACTCACCTGGACAAGCAAAGGGCAGAGTAGCTGAGTCAGTGTGGGGCAGAAGATTTACTACATGCACAGACCCTCAGAAAATTACTACTACTAAAAGCAAGGAATAAGCTGGGAAGAAAGGACCAAGGGGGGTACGTCTAGACTACATGCCTCCGTCGACGGAGGCATGTAGATTAGCCAGATCGGCAGAGGGAAATGAAGCCGCGATTAAAATAATCGCGGCTTCATTTAAATTTAAATGGCTGCCCCGCTCTGCCGATCAGCTGTTTGTCGGCAGATCGGGGCAGTCTGGATGCGACGCGCCGACAAAGAAGCCTTTCTTGATCGGCACAGGTAAACCTGGTTTCACGAGGCATACCTGTGCCGATCAAGAAAGGCTTCCTTGTCGGCGCGTCGCGTCCAGACTGCCCCGATCTGCCGACAAACAGCTGATCGGCAGAGCGGGGCAGCCATTTAATTTTAAATGAAGCCGCGATTATTTTAATCGCGGCTTCATTTCCCTCTGCCGATCTGGCTAATCTACATGCCTCCGTCGACGGAGGCATGTAGTCTAGACACACCCAGGGTGTGCTTCTGAGTCTCTGTGTGTTCTAAGGCTATACTTGAGTAGTACTCAAAATCACAGTTTAGCCTTTAATAACACTATTATTTCAAATGCTAAAAAACCCTCTGGTTATTGAGAGCACTCAAATGCATTCAGTTCACCCCTATCTATTAAATAAGAATTTACTTATGTTGATAAGTATGTAAGGTAACTAATAGTAATACTCAATACTTCCAGGGAGCGTTCTATCCATGGAGCTGCATGGTACATTGGAATGCACTCTGATTGAAACTGTTTGTGATGAAGTAGAATGAAAGTCCCAAATTGCTTCATTACAACATGTAAATTCTAAATTGAATTAGTGTGAACCTCCCCTTAGAATAAAGTTATGTTAAAATAAAATGACTTCATTCTAAGAGGGATTGACTGTGTTCTAAAATGTTCATAAGGATGCTTGTCTTAGGACCTTATTTTGCATTTCTTTGTGAGATGATGGCAGGATTATCTCAGTACGGTGCCCTCCCAAGATTAATTTATTTAGTCATATCTCTTACACTATTAAATCTATCAGCATCACAGTAGAATGCATTATTACCCTTTAAATTGCCTTCACCTTCACTGTGATCAGGAACTAGTAATGATCACAGCTTTACCCCTGGCATCTTTCTATTATACGTGTATCCAAAGCAGTGGGTTGTTTAATTAGAAGATTGCTAGCTCTCTGTCTACTTATTCTTCACCTCTGAGGGTCACAGTACTCAGCAGGATACAGATATGATTCTGAATGTCTCATTCATCCATCATGGCCAGACATTTTCTTGATTTACTAGTTCATGACCAGAAAACCTGGTCACCCGCTTTTACAAGGCATCTCCTCTGGAGATGGAAGTGGGGGAACACTGAAAATGCCCTCTGACCTTTTAAGAGGGCATGAAACCATTAAGAGGTGCGACCTCAGATCGGATGTGGTGACCCGCTGAATTTAAGCATATTAGTCAGTGAAGGAAAAGAAACTAACCAGGATTCCCTCAATAATGGTGAGTGAACAGGGAAGAGCCCAGCACCGAACCCCTGTCTCACAGTGGGGTGCGGGAAATGTGGCATACAGAAGACCCACTCTCCCCGGTGATGCTCTCGGGGGTCCAAGCCCTTCTGATCGAGGCACAGCCCATTGATGGTGTGAGGCCAGTAGCAGCCCCTAGCACGCTGGGACCAGATCTTTTCAGAGTCGGGTTGCTTGGAAATGTAGCCAAAAGCGGGTGGTAAACTCTATCTAAGGCTAAATACTGGCATGAGACTGACAGTCAAAAAGTACCATAAGGGAAAGTTGAAAAGACCTTTGAAAAGAGAGTTTTCAAGAGATTGTGAAACCGTTAATAGGTGTGACCTCAGATCAGAAATGGCAAACCACTGAATTTAAGTATATTACTTGGTGGAGGAAAATAAACTAACCAGAATTCCCTCAGTAACGGTGAGTGAACAGGAAAGAGCCCAGCGCTGAATCCCCATCCCGCAGTGGGGTATGAGAAATGTGGTGTACAGAAGGCCCACTCTCCCCAGTGCCACTCTCAGGGGCCCAGGTCCTTCTGATAGAGGCACACCCTGTGGACAGTGTGAGTCCGGTAGCAGCCCCTGGCTTACTGGGACCAGGTCTTCTCGGAGTCAGGTTGCTTGGGAATGCAGCCCAAAGAGGGTGATAAACTCCATCTAAGGCTAAATACTGACATGAGACCAATAGTCAACAAGTACCATAAGGGAAAGTTGAAAAGAACTTTGAAGAGAGAGTTCAAGAGGGTGTGAAACCATTAAGGACATATAGGTGATCTAAATCTTTAATGCTTGAATTGGGTTGAATAAATGAATGGTACATTGACTAATACATAATAAAGGCATAGGAAAATGCATATTCATGCACTGAGAGTGAGACAGTCTTGTCACTTTTTATTTTCAAGATGGGAAATGCTATTCCCCTCCCTCAATTACTGGACTAATTCATACTTTTAATTAGTTTAACAATTTTTCAAAGAACTAACCTCAACCAGGCTTTATTTTCATAATATAGGCTTTTGTGTCGATATGCCAACTATTTTAAATCTGCTCAGAATGACCCGAAACAAGTTCTAGAGACCCAATGGGGATCTTGACTTCTTTGAAATTAATGGGAGTTTTGTAAATATGTAAATCATGGGGAAAAAAGAATCAGGTCCTGCTTGTTTCCACCATTTGTATATGCTTTTCATAATAATTTCTGATGAAGTTCTATTCTAAGCACTGCTCTTGGAAGACAATTTTCAACTCTATAGCCAAAATCCAATGAGTAAATTAAAATGTTTCAGTTGGAACTCACTAGCTTAGAATTT